CTAAGATGAGTGGACTTTCACCCCCAGAATTCTGGGAGTTGAAGTCCACTCATCTTAGTGCCCAGGTTTGGACAACACTGGCCTAGGGCTATGAGAGTAACCAGCCCAAGATCACCCAGCTGGTTTTGTGCCTAAGGCAGGACGAGAACTCACAGCCTCCTGGTTTATAGCCTGGTGTCTTTAACCACTACACCAAACTGGCTCTCTTTTTACGGAAGTATATAGTTGAATGCAATTCTTGGTGCAGACTTTTCTCAAAAATAATGAGGCAGTACCTACTTTTAAGTGAACAGATGTGAAAAAAGCATGGATCATAAATGATCCAATTCATCCCTCCTTAAACGAATCTTCCTGTAATTTTATGGATGGGCTTGAGCTATGCTGCTATATGCACAGGGGAAAGCAGCCTCAGAATCTACATGAAAGTCAGGATATGAATGCACCAAATCTATTACTATATGCCTATATGTTTGTGTGCTATATGTCTGTATATAAGTTGCTAGGAGGATATTTGCTATAAGGTAAAAGCCTACATAAATTTTAATCTTATAGCAGCAGCCCTCAATCTAGTCTTCTTCTAGTCTTCCAAGAGGCCAGAATTTAAAAGACTGGACCAACACAGCATTGCTTTTATACTTGAGTTTTGTTATATGCTCCTGATTAATTTCCTTGGGACCCCTGAGCATGCCACTTAGGATTTTCCACTTAACAAAAACAGATACCAAACTGTTTTCTCTGCTTTCACAGAACCAAGAACTTATCCCAGGAAGAACTTCCTGGAAGGGCTGATTCAGGAGGAGGGGGCGATGCTGCACATACTTATACAGGACTTTATAGATTTCCAAATTGTTTTCAAAGGCAACTCTATATCCAGAGTATTGCAGTAATCTAATCACAAAGTGATGAAGGCATGAGTCAAAAGTGCAAGGGCTTTGTAATAGAGCATCGGCCAAAAGACCTCATGGTCATGGACTTCCGCTGCCAATACAGTAGTAGCCTTGAGTCCTGGAAGGCCTCCAAGTTGTGGATTTGCTCCCTCAGGAGCAGTGCCACCCCATCAAGAGACAACAGTGAAGATGACCAACAAGGGTAACTCCATCTTGCTTCTGTCCAATTTCAACCTTTATCCCATCCAGAGCATTACAGCCTCCAGAGAAGACTTCCACAGCATTACAGGTATGGCTTGGGGTAGTAAAGTACAGCTGAGTATCAATAGCCTAATTAAGATTTTTTAAAATCTGTTCAATCATGTCTGATTCTCTGATTTGATTCAGTGGAGAAAGACCAAACCATGAGGCACTCCATGAATGAGGAGCCACCAGGCCAATCTTTCCTCCCTAATCTCCCTGACTGAAATAACCTGCTAAGGAAAGAATGGAATCACAGTAAAACTGTTCTCCCCATTCCTAGTTTCCATAGGTGGCCTACAAGGATGCTAGTCAATGGTACTGAAAGCTGTTGAAAAGTCTAATAGGACCAGAAAGATTGACCTAGCCCAAATATGTCTCCAAAACTCTCATCCCTTAGCAGGATCAATGCCTTTTTTGTCTCATGCTAATGCTTGAACCCTAACTGAAAAGGGTCTAGGTGATCATTTCCTTTTAGGAAACTCTGTAGTTGAATGTCCATTAGTCTCTCAACAACCTAAAAAGGGGAAAGAGCCTGAAAGTAATTGTCAAATATGGCTGGATCTAGGGAAAGCCTCTTGGGGAGGGGGCTTAACATAGCCTCTTTCAAAGCCACAAGCAAAAAGATGTTGACCGTCTTCTGAATCCAGCCAGTCACATCTCCATCTGCTCTTCAAAGGACCCCAGAAGGGCAAGAGTCCAAAACTCAGGTGTCAGGAGACATCCAAGAGAGCATCTTACCCATGTAGGTCCTTTTTACATTAAAAAGATTCCCACATACAGTGGGGCAAAAAAGTATTTAGCCACCAATTGTGCAAGTTCTCCCACTTAAAAAGATGAGAGAGGCCT